TTTTTCAGTGGACTTTTTGGAGGATCCCGAGAAGTTACGTCCAGCGCCTTTGTTTCATTTTCCCACATTTGTGCACTTTCACAGATATTAAACGGTTAATAAACCACCATTATTACACATTTAAACCCGAAGAAACACTAAATAGACAAAATAAAACAAATCACACAACTTCACTCCACGCGTTCCCGCCAAAAAGTCCCCATCAAAATTCTCAAATACATTGTACCATAGATTATACACTTAATTTATTTGAGAGTTATCACTGAATTACGATTAATAATAACGCAGGTATATGTATTAAGTTAATTTCATTTAACAAAAAACTGATTAACGAATATTAATCAGGTAAAATTCCTGGTTAATGGTGTGGTAAACAGCGGTAGTCGCCGGTGCTCTTACAAGCGACGGACCACAATGGTTATCTTCAGGCGATACAACAATACAGCAATGCACACACGTTCTACACTAGCATTGCACTGCGTTCGGGTTAGTTGGAACCCCCTAAAATATAGACACTGGTCAATTTCAGATCAATCTTGACTATGACCAAATAAAGCTAATGAAAGTAACTCTCAGAAAAAAATTGTGCTTGCGAAACACAAAATCAGAGCATATCATTAAAATATATTTGAAATTTGAAAATCCACGAGTATCTGGAAATCCCTACCATATTGCATGAAGTTAAACAATACTCCGCCAAGTATAAGAACTCTTGACAGCACACCCAAACCCGTTGTCCGGTATGCTCTTGCATCCAAATCTGGTTAGAAGACTCAAGAGAGTTACTCTAATAAGGTGAGATGGAGCATTGGCTTTGCCCCTCCAAATCATAACCTCTCATAACTCACCTGATTATAGTCGTGTCGACTATTGCAGGTGTTAAAGTAGAACATATACATACACAATATCGTCTTTACCATAAGGGCACACGGGGCCCGTGCTCAGGGCCTCCATTCTTAGAGGGCCCCGAAAGACCGACAATTTCTCTCACACGTTTATTCTCAAAACATTTTTGTCGAGCGCATTACAATTATTTTCACAAATCAGTAGTTAGACGGTATTTAGAAGGCATATACTATGCCTATAATAGAAGATTTTGCTCAACAGAAATCCCGAAAGAAACCGTTATCGAAATCGTAACCAAAAAACCAGCAGCATTCTAATATCATTTATGACATTATATCATACTGTATTTGATTACCTATAATAAATGGTCATACTCAGTAAAAAAATGTTATTATAATTCGCTTTTTTTACTTTCCAAAAGGGCCTCAAATTCTTGTGTGCCCAAGGACCCCATCCTAGCTTAAGACGTCCCTGTACATACACACATATATATATATATATAAGATAACCACATTTCTAGGCAGCAACATAGGCACACTTTAGAATTCTAGAATTGTACTTGTGATAGGGTTTCTTATGAGCACAGATGGTTAGTTATTGCATATTTCTGTTGTAAAGCAGTAGTGTGTTTGGATTTGACGGTTAAGGCTGTGTACTATAAAATTGAGACTTATATTGCAAGATCGGGTGCTGTATTAATTTTATTAATGTGTATTGGCATGGTAAACACTTAAGACTAATGGGTGTGAGCTCGTCCACCAGTGTGAGCGATAAAAAATATATATTATAATATTTTTTTTACACCCAGAATACTGTTAGTTTTAGAAGTGTATGTCTATTCATTAAATTTAATAACTTGAGCTCAGTGTTATTAATTTTCTGTCTACTAATGTTTGATTTTAGGGTAAGATAAAGGTCGAATCCACTTTTCTGGTCTCCCAATTCTTACCTGCTTACCAGCTTTATGCTAGATATTGTCATCCTTCTTATGTATGCCTCAACATCTGGCTGATTGTTATGTTCATTGGTTGTCATGAAAATTAATTAGAATTTACATAGGAACACTACAAATGGGTATTACTTGAATGCATACAAAATGCACTTTGGTTTAATACACAAATAATGATAATACTAAATTAAGTTTTAGTTTTAATATCCAAGGGTGATTAAATATTCAATTTAATATCCAAGGCTATTTGGCTTTAGCGACATTTTGCAACTTTGCAGGAGAGCCATATATAGGTAAAATTTTGGAAAAAAATTCATAACAAAAAGACTTCTTCTTCAGCTATTCGCATGGAGTAAACTTAATTGAAGTTCAATTACAAATATCGAATTGTTGATACTAATACTAAATAAAACGCACCTTTAATTACAAAGAAAAATGTCATGCATTCTGCGATATGTCCCTTAAACCAAATAGTCTTTCAATGCTCCATATAAAGATAAAAATAAAGAAGCCTTTATTAACAACCTTAATCCATATTTAGGTACATACTATTAATGTAATGTTTCTACATTAGACATCAGCAAATATTGTTTTGCTTTCGCATAGAAAGTGGTCATGTTGTAGTCTGCTCGATATGTGTTTGCATAAATCAGAAAATGTTAATTGAATGAGACTGTAATGGAAGAGTTTGATCAATTTACAGGATGTTCTCTTGGTTGATAAGTGGTTACCACAACATGAATTACAATCTGAATACTGTCAATGAGAAAGTGGGAAATGCTTAGCACACATTTTATTTTATAACTCCATTCCATCCATATTCTATTCTATCTATTTTATTTATTATAATACTCCACATTCTATTATGATTCATAAGAGTATGGAGAAACAAGTATACAGTTACGATTGGTTGATAATGCTATAGATAATTGTAAATAGACATGTTTTAACAAAAACCGACGTCAAATAGAAAAAAAAAGATATTCCAAAACAAATTAATATACACTAAAAACAATAATCATCGTAATCGGTTGGCGTGATATTGAGTTATTGAGTTATTCATCTATTTGTCGCGTACGTACTTAAATCAAATTTAAGACTTTTATGGTTTCGTCATGGATTACCATTATCAGAACTGGACTAAATTGAAATGGGACTACACGAGAAGCGTCAGCTTTCTAATAAAAAAAAAACAATCATCCAAATCGATTCACCCAGTCAAAAGTTATGAGGTAACAACCATAAAAATAATAATGGCATACAGTCGTATTGAGAGCCTCCTCTTTTTTGAAGTCGGTTAAAAGCTGATTAATATGCCAATTTTTGTTGAATTATTAAGATATGAAGTTGAAGTCTCCCTCAATTGTCTTATAAAGTCGTATTTCCACTTTCTGTACAACCTAAGAACTTTTTTCTGTTATATCGAGCTCATGCTCGTATTTTTTGACAAAATATTTAGCCAGAAAACAGTTCATCACATACTTTATATATTCCCCCCGGTGAAGGTCATGCGGCGATCTGAGGAGGTCGAGACCGCACGGCGTGCTATCAGCACTTTAGCGTGCCGCCAAGGAGAAATATCAACATCCTGATAAAAGAGCAACCGGTTGGCGGTAGATCGCGTCCTGACCCGGAAGGCTGGTTCTGGTCTAGTGGGGTATTTCGGGACACGAGCGGCACCGTCTGAGCGGCCCGACGGGCTGCCGTACCGAGACGGCTGACGTTTCACCTTCGATTCGCCTCGAAGTCTCCGTCGGCCGGGCGTCCTTGGGGTGAGCTGCGCCGTCTGGCTGTATTGTTGACCGCGGTAACCCCCTTACCTCATCCGGGTTAAGACCTCGGAGGGGATCGGAGGCTTGGGCGAAGAGTGCAGGGGAATCGTTTAGTGGGTAGGGGCCTGAAAATATCCTTGGGCCCGCGGTTTCGCGATCGCGGACCAGCCCCACATACCCCGGGCGCCCTCTAGGCGCGGGGACCTCGCAGGAGGTTCGGCCCCGCGCCTAAAAAAACTTGATATATTAGTAAAATGCTTTATTTGAAAATGTAAAACTATTATTAGGTATATATTTACAGATACAAAATGTCATGCATAGTGCAAGTTGAGCAGGGCTTATTGGAGGGAACGAAGCGTCAGAGCTGCCGTGGTCAGTATTACAATAGTTTTGAGGGAATACCGTATGCGAAGCCACCTATTGGAAAGCTAAGATTTAGTGTAAGTCGATGGTGTTTTTTTTATTTATGTCTAAAGTTAAACGAAAGTTCTGGATAACCAAGTTAAAACTTACTCATTTGGAAACCTCAAGCCTCGAGACGAGGACTAGTGAAAGCGAACTCTAACTCTGTCTTAGACAATTAGAACATAAGGTCAGTCGCACCAGCTACCTGCGGCTGATCGCCTTGCGGATGGTTCTGGACTGTCCAATAATGCAACACTTGACACGTGTGTATTTTGAGCACTCTTGATCCAAATCAGCCTAGGTTAAGGTAGTTTTGACATTCATTTTTATCTTTAGTTTTATTATTATTATTATTTTATTCCGAAATTGTAGTTATTGTTTTTATTGAAGTCTGTTATACTATATAAAATGTTAATGATTGTAATATGGATGCAAAATCTGAGGTAAATGAAATAAATAAATAAAACTTATGAGTCATTAGTATCATGTAATAGTAGTATTGATCAGTAAGTACTAAACCGAGTAAAAATACATTTGAATCCCTGATCTAGATCAACAATTTATTTATAAAACTCAACGCACAATCCATACATGAGTTTTTACTGACTCACAATAAGTTTGCTGAATTCGTAATGACAAGTTTTCTCTTTGGGTTGCTTGAAGTACTTTTTTTTGTACTACGTTAACCCATCGACTCATGATGCAAGTTCGAGATGCTTCTGTGATGGTAACCTAGCCACATAGGTAATATTGATGCAATGGAAAAGCTAATGCTTCTTGTGATTTAAGACAAAAGCTTAATGGCTAATGTTATATCTGTATGTGAGAAGCTATNAAAATTTCAGAATCCACAAGAACCCGATCAATGGAAAGGAATACGTAGCGCAAAAAGTCCCTCAAACAAATGCGCCCAATTAAATCCTTATTCTAACTCAGCGTTAGTAGGTTCGGAAGACTGTTTGTACTTAAACATTTACACGCCTAGTTTGCCAGCTGAAAAACTCGAGAAATTACCAGTAATCTTCTTCGTCCACGGCGGTCGTTTGATTGTAGGCTACGGAGATTATTATACACCGGATTATTTGATTAAAAACGATGTCATTTTAGTAACGTTAAATTACAGGTTAAATGTGTTAGGATTTTTGTGTTTGAATTTACCGGAAGCACCTGGTAACGTTGGAATTAAGGACACCGTCTACGCATTACGTTGGGTCGGTAGAAATATTTCTCGTTTTAATGGCAACCCTGGCAATATAACAGTTTTCGGTGAAAGCGCCGGTGGGGCCATTGTATCTTCGTACTTAACCTCAAAGATGACTGTTGGTCTTTTTAGTAAGGTTATTGCGCAGTCCGGAAATTCAATAGCTGATTTTTTTGTGATTAACGAGGATCCTATTGAGAAAGCGATAAAATTGGCGTCAGTTTTAGGCAAGGATTTGAAAGATCAACGGTCTTTATACGAGTTCTTAGTACAGGTTCCGTTAGTAGATTTGGTGAATGCGTTTACCCAGCTAGAACTGAGTCGGCCGCCTAGTATTATCAATGCGTATTTCTTACCGGTCGTCGAGAAAAAGTTCGATAACGTCGAATGTTTTTTCGAGGAACATCCCATAGTGTCCATTAAGAATAATAGGGTACAAAAAGTGCCCGTAATAACAGGTTATGTCACTTACGAATCGGCGCTGTTCGTCCAAAAAGACGACTCTGGTAAGATCGTATATGTAGACGACTTTCATAATTTTATCCCTCGATTCTTGGGTGTCGAAGAGAGCACGGAAAGATCTAGAGTTTTCCAGAAGAAACTACGCGAATTCTATTTTGCGGGCCGGGAATTGAATGACGATTTGAAGATTGATTATTTGGTAATGATCACGGACGTGTATTTCGTTAGGGATATCATTTATTTCGCTGAATTACTATCGAAACACAATCCTGAGGTGTATCTATATGAATTCGGTTTTGACGGCAAC